TCCGAGATTTCGGACCGATTTCTAGCATCGTGGACATCGGGCTTTAAGTACAGTCTTAAGATGTCATGAACCAATCAGAAGGCCGCATTAGCGACTTAAGACATTACTTAAGACGGTCTTAAAATAAGAACCGACTATGAATACCGGCCTATGTCTTTGGATCCAATGCATTTCAGTAAAATTATTTAACATATCACTGCGCATGCTCTGACACTGGACGCTTGACGCTCCCATGTAAAGATATCTTAATATATACTCCGTCCACGGAGAGAAAAACTACGCGTCGGACGAATTTTTGTCCGATTTGCGTAGACTAACCACCCATTTTACTCCTTTACATCATTAATAGCAGGCAGCAATTCACGAAAGGTGCATTGCGTTTGAGTTTTTCCCACTGTAGCCACGTGATCACAAGCTGCGCAAAGCCTGATTGTTCTCTCAGTGGATGGAGTATAGAAATATAGAACCTAAGGGGCTCTGCACAATAAAAGGAACAGGGAACAGAGAACAGAGAATAAGAATTTCAACCTATCAAAAACTGTGTATTCCACAATATATGATTTCTGATAGGTGAAAATTCTTATTCTCTGTTCTCTGTTCCTTTTATTGTGCGGAGCTCCTAAGACCCTGCGCATAATGGAGGAAATATTAGGAACAGGAATAGATATTAAGATTTTAACCTATCTGATATTAGTTACATCGGAATACACGGTTTCTGATAGGTTGAAATCTTAATATCTATTCCTGTTTCTAATATTTCCTCCATTGTGCGCAGGGCCTAAGTTTAATGTGGAATCAGCTTTAAAGACGATCAGCTGATATGAGTTGGAGTTGGCTCGAAGTGTTGTCATTACATTAGAATAGAAACAGAAACATCAAATGTGCATGTACAAAATTCACAGGATTTTTTGTTGAATAAAAGTGTAAAGGAAAATGGATTACAATGAAATATTATCCAAGTTGATATACAATGTTGATGGTAAGATTATATATATTTTGTTAATAGATCCAATTAATTTTATGATATTAAGATAATATTACAATAATAATTAAGACTTTAGTTTCGATTTGGTTGTTCACATGCTGTGAGCTTTATTCAGTTTTTATCACACGTTACTTACGGAAGGAAGATAGAATGGAGTTTATAACTTACAGTATGCAAGCACCTAAACCGAATGCAGCTAATACATAGCATTTTTTTAAATTTAAATCTATATTTATAGATCAAGTTACAAATTTTGATGATAAGATGATACAAATGATTCAGAAGGTAAAGCCACTTTTGCCGAAAGATATGCAATGTATCGAAAATTTGTCTATGAGGTATAATTTGGTATTGTTGAAGTACTATGTATATAAATTCTATATAGACTAGAAATATTTAAATAATATATTTGTTTTATTTATAGACAACAATATCTTAATATATTAACTTATATATTGCGTGGTATTAAGCAAGAAAATATAAATGTAGATACTGATGCACCTTTTAATGCGAATCAATATCATTCTGTGAAAATAGCTGTGGAATTTTTAATATTAATTGGAATCAAGCCTTTTCTACTACCTGGTGTAGGTATAGATATACATAAATTATGCCCCATAGCTTCAACAATTACCGAAGAAAAAGATTTGAGTTCCTTAGAGGTAAAGTATTATATAATTTAAGCGTTATTAATACTATCTACAATTATTTATCTATATTATATACAGACTTCATGTTTTAGAAATATGAACGATTGTGTTTCTCAACACACTTACTCCTAGAACTTTACGATGATCTTAATTTGCGATCAGTTGTACTTTTACGAATTGGCTTTTTGATGGCCGCTTTGTTACAATTGTCTCATGCTCCACTAGCTAAACCAGTGGACAAAGTTCAACCTACGAATGTAAATAATCAGGAATTTCGGATGACAACGGAAGAATACCAAAGGCTGCAAAATCGTCAAAAAATATTTCACACTAAATTTATTTCGCTATTAAATAATTGCCCACGTAATATATGTTTTCGGGAATTAATGGCAATTCTTGGAGTGCAAAATGCACCAAAATGGTTGCGTAAAGAAACTCAAAATTATCTAATTAAGATGCTTATGCAACCTAATGGAGTATCATCTTTGATTACTACAATTTATAACGACAATTTAGACTTGGGTATGGATTGGAGAAAATTAGATACGTTTTCCAGACTGATAGCAACAACGCATGGAAAAAACATCGACGAATATTACAAAGCTGTATGTCCACAGGTAAACCAGAGACTATTTAAAGAAATAATATAAAGTATATTTTATAAATAAATATAAAAATAAATTAATATTATCACGATTTTTTTTAGATTCTAAACATGTTTTCCTCAGACAAGTTTAAACATGGCTCAATAATAGCAAACTGCTGTATTAAATCTTTGTATGATAACAATCCACACATTTGCCAGAAATATATTATAGAAGTTATTTGTGCACCTTTAACAATGAAAAAATCACAAATTTTTTCTGAAAAGGAGATAGAATGGTGTATAAACATATTAGCGAAATGTTTTCTAACGGAAGATTCCAAATTCAAACATATACCTTGTAAAGTTATTTTGTATGTTGCTACGCCTCTATTTTGTCTATATGATAAAATCCGCGAAAGTGCTTGTACATTAAAAACAGATTTACGACGACTTTTATTAAAAATTTTCGAAGAAGAGACATTGCGGGAAAAGTTGTATTCAGCTTTTCTAGGACATGATACATCAGTAGAATTTGGAGATTATATAACATCAGAATTTGGGTCGACTGGCGGTATCGAAATTACTGGCTTGAATAAAAATTTGGACTATGAAAAATTAGCTGATACTATTTTCGACTTAGTATCCATTGCTAACGATTTGTCTCCCAGTTTATTTTGTTACATGTTGAAGTTTCTGTCAAATATAAATAAATGGAACTATGAAATTGAACAACCGAAAATGTTGGAAACAGAAGACGATCAAATAGAACGCATCACGATGCAATTAGCGGCTCATAAACTTCTATCACAATTAGCCAGTACAAGTATCGTTCAAGACGCACAAGTAAAAAATCCTGAACCGTTGCTATCATTTATAAAGTCGTTATTTAACGAGTATACCAAAAACCGTCGGGAGAAAACTGAAGAGAGTGAATGCGAGATGTTGTACATCAGTTTAATGTTGATAAAAATGATTTTTCTCGAGAAGAGTGCATCAATCGAAATCGTTCTCTTCAAAGATTTTAAAACGTTTTTAGAAGACCATTCGAAGAACTCGAATGTGTCAACACAACTTAAAGCATTAATCAGCGAAGTGGTGGCTTGTATCACGACACACGATTCTCAAATTAGAACGGAGAAGAAATATTATCAAGATTTGTCCAGTTCGTCGGATAAATTTGACCAAGCCTTAAGGGATCTCGCGGACCCATTACTTCCTGTTCAGGCGCATGGTCTTGTGGTACTCACGAAACTGATTGAGACTAAAGATGCTTACGCTGTTGCACGCAATGCGATCATCTTGCGTTTATTCGAGGTTGCTAATATTTTTGTTGTTCGCTTGCTGTTGCTTTCTACAAATTTATTTTACTTATGTATTTGATTACAGGAGAATTTAAAGCATGAAGACTCATTCATATATCTAGCATCTATCAACGGGCTGTGCGCATTGGCAACCGCATTTCCAGAAAAAGTTATAGAAACACTAATGCTTGAATACATTGATATGCCCAAACGTGCTGCAATATCAGAAATAACTGTCGAAACTAGGATAAAACTCGGAGAAATATTGGTTAAAACAACGAAAGCCTTGGGTACATAGATATTTTTTCTTTATTATATATGCATATATACAGCACAAATTTTCTATAAATCCTCTTTTTATCTTTATTAATTATATTTTATACGAAACATAATTATATATAAAATTTATAAGGTAACAAATACATCGTTAATAAATTATCGTTATTTAAAATGCTGGACAGAAAACATAAAATACAAGTCCAGGAAACGATAAAATAGGGTACATCGAAATGCGACTAGCGGTTCATAAAATTTGATGCAAATTTTGAGTTAGGGATAATTCAATAATCAAAATATGAAATTTCGCAGGTGAAATGAGCGTGGTTCAAAAAAATATTCTGCTTAATGGTTTTTTGTGCGCAATTCGTGATGCGGATCCGTTGGTACGAGCCTCTGGTCTCTCTTGCTTAGGAGAACTCTGCAAAGTATTGAACTATCGTCTAGGAAACGTTCTCACTGAAGTACGTATATAAAAGATTCGTAGAGAACAAATATCAAAGAAAATTTTTTTAAACTTGATTTTAACGCTTCCACACAGATTCTCTACTGCATCACATGTATATTAAAATCAGACAAAGTACCTGAATGTCGGCGTGCTGCCGTGCTGGTTGCAACGCTTCTGTTTCGCGGTCTTGATCGAGATTTATTGAGCAGCTGTACCAGTGACATGATCGACCTGTACCGCGAATTGCGCAATTTGCGCGATGACAAAGATCCCGTGCTACAGCTTCATGTTCAATTAGTCTTCGAGGAGATTGATCGCATCATGCGAGATTTACTCACGGAATTACCCACATTCAGAAATAAGATATCTTGAAAAAATATCTTAAAAATATTCAAAATACATGCAGTAAGACGAATAAATGCGTTTATTGAAGATTATCAATAAACGTTGCATCATATATTACTTCTTGCCTTCTTTCAGTCCTTCGAACGAATGCGAAATCGAAAGGTGTCTGATTTTTCGGGAAAATTAACTATGGATGTGATCGTTCAACAAAAAAAAAAATACAATATATATATGATCTACAATCATTATTGCAACAAATCCAACAATTTTTAAAATAATTTTTTAAATAAACTACTTAAATCCGACGATGATGTTTGATATTATAAAAACGTTGTATCTTCGGAAAAGAATCCGGCTAAACGAATGTGATCTCGTTTAAGACAGACATACAGCCGTTGTGGCTGCGGCGTGGAGGATGGCGAAGGTCGTGGTATTATCGCTCGCAAAATGAATTCCTTGCACGATGGTTCGGGGAAAATTTTGTATCGACTATCTTCCGCATGTATAGTACCTTTATTAATATTACTGACGGACGTCATCATATGAGCAGCCTAAAACAAAATTAAAATATTTTATGTTGAAATTGTAAATTTTCTCTCTTTTTCCCTCCCTCTTTCTTTCCTTCTCTCCTATACCTTTTGAGCATCGCGAAACATCGTCGTTATTCGAGCTCCGATGTCTCCTCTGGAGCCGCCGGGCACGCTCACTTCCTTTCCTCGCATCAATTGAATCAAAAAGGACGTGAATTCTTTAGAGTCATTATTACCGCCTAGCTTGTGCTGTAACGAGTTTACTTGAGCAACCAACGCTTCCACGCTTTCGATGTCACGCGTGATTTCCTGAAGAAATTGAAATTCAAAGAGAGAGTTA